AGAGCCAGAAACTATTAGGGATCAGATTAGAAAGGATGAAGTAAGAAAAGCCCTGAAGAGGATGAAGAGTGGAAAGTCAGTTGGTCCCAATGACATACCAGTGGAAGTATGGAAGTGCTTAGGAGAAGTGGCGGTAGATTTTCTGACTTGGTTGTGTAACAGAATTTTAGAGACTGACAAGATGCCTGATGAGTAGAGGAAAAGTGTTCTGGTGCTAAATCATAAGAATAATCTTTCACTGTGAACGAATCATTCTCTGTGAACTAATCTTTCGCTTCGTTCTCGCAGATTTGTTCAATTTGTCACGTGACAGAGAGCTCGGGGTCTCTTTTGCTCTTATTCATCTTCACATTGTGGTGTGTTTTTCTTTATGTTTTCACATAGGTTAATTGCTTATGGTATTTTGAGTACTTTGTCAGCGGAAGCAAACCATCTTGCCTTCAGTATTTAGTGTCGGAGAACGGCAGTCTTCTTTACAACGCCCACAATAGGGCTTAAGCGCCACCTGCTGTAAAACGAATGAAAATTATTCGTTCAAGATTCCTTCACGAGTCGTTCATTTTACTGTTTGAGAGTCAAAGTTCTGAATCAGTAAAAAGAGTCGGTCATCACTACAACAGTGCCCTCCAGTGTCCAACTTAGGTCACTACCCTTTTCCACAAGTCTCCGTTCCTACTGCTCTGCAACTCCATGTGCGCCCATCTCACCGATATTGTCAAAACCCAAGTGAAGCAAACTATGTCGCAGCTTGCCATCATTCCGGGTGGATTATCCAAAGAAATCTAACCGCAAAATATTGGTGTTAAAAGGGTGTTTAAAGTTAAATTGCGAGCTGCGTGGGAGCATTGTATGACTGAAAGCAAACACATTTACCAAGACAGGGAGCCAACGCCGGGCGATTCACGCCACTATCTGCCAATGGATCGTGGATGCCTGGGCTAAGGTATCAGTCTCAAATGTCGGCCGAGCTTTCACAGCGGAATCATCACTGAACAACTAATTAACAGCAACGAGACCGACTCGTTAGCACCTCAGTGGCAACTTGGCAGTGGACTCAAACCTTAAGCCTTCTGGACCCAAGTCTTCTTCCTTAACCACTAAGCCACCACTGCCCCAACTAGAGAGTGTAGATGGAAATTACCTTGTGAAAATGTGGTACTGTGTGCCCAGTGCTGTTCCAGGTCCAGGTTCCCATCTCAAAACATGGTGAAAGTTGACAGAGAAAACCGACAGGTTGCGTGGTGCCGGAATGATGGTAAGAGCTGTTGAAAAAGCAGCAGGTAGTTGATTGTATTCTGCTACACCAACTGGGCCTAGGAATTATATACAGTTGAAAGATGTAACCTTGAAGAAACAACTGGTTTTGGATGTGGTGGGACCACCTGGAATATATTAACCTGTATCAATCATTACAAGGCTATGAGTTTTACTAAACTGTATTGTGTTGTTAAAAGATGGTTTATTTGTCTAAATAATCGTCTCATAAATGAAGAGAAGTTTTGAAAGATTTACATTCTGAAAAATCTCTATAAAAGAATAATAATTACTCTATTTTCCAGACTATAAATCACTCCGGAGTAAAGTTGCACCAGCCAGCTAGAGTGCCCTCTAGCGGCTGGCAGTGGGAAAATAACAACGGTAAATTTTCAGTGGTACATGAGTAGCAGATACTAGTACACAAGCCTAGAGTCGCAAACCCAGCCAAAGGATGGTAAGAAGATACGGTAATATTATAAATACCGTAATTTCTGGACTAAAAGACGCTACTTATTTCACACATTTGGAACCCCGCGGCTTGTGACGTAGCTAATTTTTTTCTACTTACTTCCTGTCCCCTGTGACGTCAGGAGTGACGTCAGGAGTGACGTGGTTGGCCGTCCCTTAAGGGGGGGGACAGGAAGTAAGTAGAAAAAATTCAAATATTTGGTAAATACAATTTTTGGCCTAAAATATTTTGTTTCTTATCATTTTGATAGACCTTTGATTAAAGCACCAGAATTTAAGGTTTGACAAATAACTGAACTTTTTACTGAAGGTTTACAAAATTTAATTTGTGCTGCACTCATCGCTATACTTTAATTTGTTTATAGTAAATATGAATTGCTTAGATACATAAAGGGTGCTCTATCCATTTCTATAAAAGAAACATTCTTTGTAGCAGGCATTTATTTAATTAAAAGCAAAAAAAATATTTCGGTGTAAATATCCCATGTTACAACGTGGACACCTGTGGCTAATAGAGAAGTGCAGCCTATATACAGTATGTACAATTATTTTTTTCTTTTTAAATTTAGTGACTGTGGCTTATATCCAGGTGCGTTCAATGGTCCGGAAATTACGGTAGTATAAGAAATACGTTTTGTTTTTACACATTTATATTAGGTTGATGCTTCCTTTTCACTTACATTTCCAATCCTTAACACATCAACAATTAATTCATTTGCTAATGATTTACATATTTTGAATCATCATAATTTGCAGTACACCCATAGTTAACTTGTTTCCTAAACATTCAAATTGAATTTCAAACTAATCTTAATTGTAAAACGTACGTATTAAATCAGTTGTTACAAATATGTAATACAAATACATACAATAAACGCTCTGCTACTGTTCCGATACTGTAGGGACTAGGAGAAAAAATAATTACAAATTAAAAGAAAAGAAGCTGGACAGAGTTAGTACTGTTGGCGTACTCACCAGAGTTAAGTATCAATGTTAAACATGTAAGAGACAAGCGCTGCATCCTCTTGTGGTCTGCAAGGCACCAGTCACTGCGCACACACACACACACACACACTTTTAATACCCAAATAAAGTCCACAGCATAACATGTACAAAACAAGTATGCTATTATAAGCCCTAGTGGAGTTTATCTTTCAGAAAAATATTTATTTATAGTTTTATTCACTGGAATGATATTCCGAAAGGTCCGAATGTCATTCCACCGAATAAAATCATTGACGTCTCGCACTTGTCGCTGTCAGCAAAAACTGCACTTCCGCCATGTGGCCCGCCGCTGAGTTTAGGTATTCTATACATCGTATTTTACTGAACTTGTAACAGGTTTATTCTGCGTGACCACAAAGGGTTTTTTCCGTTGTGGGTGATGACTTTATAATTTGTTTATCAAATCATTTTTATCAAATGAAAAACTCACCAACAGCGTAGAACAACGAAGCGAAACCGATCAACCCCTCACACCCCTCCCACCCCTCTTTACTTCCGTCAAGTGTCGGACCGAACTAAATAAATACCATCGTTTGAAGCGGAACGATTCTTAGGTCTTTGTTTTAACACGATACATTTAAGTTTGCTCCATTGCGGTCCATTCGATGAGTTTTCTTACGCACGTATCACCCAATCCATAGAATTAAATGAAAAATACATGTAAAACACAAAATAAATTCAAAATAAATTATTCTCTGTAAGCGGAACTGTAATAAATCAAGGATTAAACTTAAACGGACTCGCTTAAAGCTGCCCACCTTGGTGTTGGGTTAAAAGGTTTCGTTGTATCCTCGTGATACAGTGACAATACAGACCATAAAAAAATAAAAATAAGAAAAGCTTAATTCCCTGTCACACTTAAAGTCAGCTGACTACGCATATCTGCCCCACCGCTAATTCAAAGTCAAAATAAAAGCACACGAATTATATGCTTGCATAAAATCTATTAGAAATTGGACTTTCCATTTTTAATCTTCGAGTATTCGACTAATATCACATTTAAAAACAAATGAACTCACTTAGAATTAAAAGCCAGAGACTTGTGTTGTGTTGCCTTTGTCTGAAACAAAATATAACTTCTTTCATAACTGTGAAAGAAGATTTACCATAGGCGCAGATGGCACTAGGGACGCGGGGACATGAACCCCCTCCGATTCACAGTGACCCCGATCTGTCCCGCGTACTGTCCCTTTATAAGGAGATAAAAACATCGCTAGAAAAACAGGGGAGTAACCTTCGATTTATGACATATTCGTCTGCTACAACTTATGGTGCGTTCAAGTAAAACACGAATGTCGGAATTTCCAACCTTAAACTTAATCAACGACATATACAGGAAAATGTGAAAGAAAAACACCGAAATACCCGACACAGTAAAAATATATAATACATAAATATAAATAAAATTAAAGGTATAGAAATATATATGTTACGATTATAATGGTTATTGTATAGTAGCACAATTATTAAGTGTCCTTTTTTTATCAGTATTATCGGTATAATCATTAGTCATTTAAATGTTTCGGTTTACTCAAAAAAGAATTCCTATTGAAAAGCTGGTGTCTGTAACAACTGATGGGGCACCTGCAATGAAAGGTCGTCTCTCTGCGGATTTAATATTTATTTATTTATTGAAGTGTGATACAGTTACGTGGACATCATCTGTATTTGTAGCAATGACAATAACAATGATAATAATAATTTGGTGATGTTTTAATACAGAATGTGGACAGTAACATACTGTAACTGTTCAGGAAAAGTAAGCTTATCGAGTTTGTTTGTTCAAAATGAGCGATGAGAATACATGTTACAAAACATGAGTAGCTCTCGGCCATTTTTTTGTAGAAGTAGCTCTCAGAGGAAAAAAGTGACTTTTTTTTCTTCTTCATTATGTATTTTATCAACTGGTGCGACTTATTTTCCAAAGCTACTTATAGTTCTGGAAAATGCAGTACCTTCATTTCCATTCCAACACTATGTGGTTCAGTCTAAACTTATGTTTTGATCCATTTGTAACACCTTGATTCTGGGTTGTTATCAGTATTAAAGCCCAACTTCACTGTTGTACAGCAGACAGAACGAATAAATGACAGAATACAGTGAGTCAGTTATTGAGGTAAAAAATGAAGTTGTAGACACTGATATTCAACAAATCACATAATCAAAAAAAGATATTATTGTGAAGGGGTTGGTACTCACAACTCTGTTCTGTAAAGAAACTAATGCAGAGTGAAAAGCTAACAACAAAAAATGCAACAATTTCCAACTGAGACAGCTATACAATACAATGCTATACATGGAAATAATAATTGCTACATAAAACAAGTCCATAGGAGTATATTTTACTTTTACAAAGGAGCAAATGCTGTTTGGATTTTTTTTCAATTCAATATTCTATCTGGACAAAATACACTGCCTGGCCAAAAAAAAAAAAATCACCACCTGGATTTAACTAAGGCACGAGCCTCCTATTGGATAATTACTGCATGGAGGGGTTATCCTTCAGCTGGCAACAAGTTTTTTTAACCCCAATTGATGCAACAAGTTGCTTCTCATTTGGCCGTGATAAAGATGTTAGTCTGTTCGAGAAGGGTCAAATCATTGGCATGCATCAAGCAGAGAAAATATCTAAGGAGATTGCAGAAACTACTAAAATTGGGTTAAGAACTGTTTAACGCATTATTAAAAACTGGAAGGATAGTGGGGTCATGTGGTCTGATGAGTCCAGATTTACCCTGTTGCAGAGTAATGGGCACATCAGGGTAAGAAGAGCAGCCAAAATGAAGTGATGCACCAATCATGCCTAGTGCCTCCTGTACAAGCCTGTGGGGGCAGTGTTATGATCTGGGGTTGCTGCAGTTGGTCAGGTCTAGGTTCAGCAAGAATATGTGCTCAAAGGAGGCTCAAATTGTGTTAGAGTGGTTCAGGGAGCATGAGACATCATTTTCACACATGGATTGTGGCCACCACAGAGTCCAGACCTTAACCCCACTGAGAATCTTTGGGATGTGCTGGAGAAGGCTTTGTGCAGTGGTCAGACTCTACCATCATCAATGCA